TTTCACAAACCATAGAAGTCTTCATATAGTCTAGCCTCAAGGGTAGCTGTATAAATGCGGGTTATTGTATTATATTAATACAAAACAAATAGCATTGTGTGATTCTTGTTTAGCGGTGGGTGAATGTGCTTAGCGGATGAATACCCACAGTGATGAATTACTGACAAGTTCATCCGGAAGGTCACGATCCAACCACCACCTGTCACTACCAACATCTTTCCCACCAACCAGCATCACCACCACCTGCCACACTGAAACAACTACCCTCACCACCAGCTACCACATCCCTAAGCCACCACCGGCACCATCTCCCAAGTTACTATCACCATCTGCCGGCGGCTACCACCACCTGCCAGCAGCAGGAGGGCCATCCCTGCCACCGACCAACACAAGAGTTACTTACTCGGAGCTAAATATATGTAGGTAAGCCATTAAATAGAATGAATTGCGCGCGCCGGAGAGACAGTAACTGCCTAGCCCAGGATTAATCACTGAGCGAGACCCATACCGTCACGCCTGAGGCCTGAGGCCACTGCAACACATAAGGAGATACAACACCAAGTTAGTTTTATCTTCAATGTCCCTCAGCCTTTGGACGTCTTCTGGGAATTCTCTACACGTTCATCCTAAGCATTTACGACTCGTGTCCCGAGAGCCGAAGTCCTCGTTTGTGTAGATTTTTAAGATGGCCGATGCTGTTTTACAATTGTTTACACAGAGTGGAAGCCACTGATGTGCTGGTGTGTTTGCATCTTGAATGTTAAGGAGCTATTGTATGTGGTCTCTTTAGTGTGCTGTGTTTGGGAGCTATTTCTGTGTTTTGTGTAATGGAGCTGCTGTTGTACTGACAGCAGCAGCTCACACTAAGTGGTGTGTAACATGTGAACGGTTAATATAACGTTAGAGTGGTGAAACAGTCAAGGGCATTTTTATACTAATAAAATAAAATGTGTGTATGTTCGATGTTACAGGCCAAACGCTTGATGCTAGCCTCACCCAGCCTCATACTGTGATTGCTGTGGGATACGTGCCCAACAGAGTCGGGTCTAGGTCACCACAATTGAGGAGAGAACATTGTACTACGGTCACATACTGAACCCAACGACGATTTTTGCAACGTCGACTAATTACCATCTGGATAAATAATTCGAAAGAGAGAGAGAGAGAGAGAGAGAGAGAGAGAGAGAGAGAGAGAGAGAGAGAGAGAGAGAGAGAGAGAGAGAGAGAGAGAGAGAGAGAGAGAGAGAGAGAGAGAAGGGTTGGGGGAGGAGAGATAGAGAATAGAGGAAGAAATAGACAGTCAGATCCGGGCACTGCAGGTTACCGTGTCTAGTATACACATGTAAAATGTTTACAGACCAGTAAGAAAGTTTACTTACGGGCTGAACTTTGCTCAAGTCTAAAGTGCTTTAACCCTTAAGTGCAGGTTCATAGAAGCTAAATTATTACATATCAGTGAAGGATATTTGATTTTGGCTTATTATCAAAATGGTGGTGGGACCCTATACCCATCCCGTGCGCAGTGGTGGACTCCATACCCATCCCGTGGGCGGTGGTGGACTCCATACCCATCCCGTGGGCGGTGGTGGACCCCATGCCCATCCCGTGCGCAGTGGTACACCCCATACCCATCCCGTGGGCGGTGGTGGACCCCATACCCATCCCGTGCGCAGTGGTGCACCCTATACCCATCCCGTGCGCAGTGGTGGACTCCATACCCATCCCGTGGGCGGTGGTGCACCCCATACCCATCCCGTGGGCGGTGGTGGAAGGAGTTACAGAGGCACATAATGGATTCATGAACTGAACCCTATTGTTTCATTGCTTAAGAATTAAAAATACATTCCATGTGACTCACAGCTGGAGAGTCACGTTTGAACTTTTCTTAAACAGTGTTTCGCTGCCTTAATGTAAACGAGTCGTACCTTTCTATAAATACTTTACTCACGCAATGCAGAACCAAAACACCTAACTTAACCCGGGTCCAGCAATACACGAAATTGTAATACACGTTAATATTAAGTTTGATTCGAGGAAATATGTTTTGTCTACAGAATCAAGCTGCAGCATTGGACGGATGTGTCATTGGTATATGTATCGTCAATCAACAATGTGTACTGTCAATCAATAATATGTATCTTCAATCAATAGTGTGTTACATCAACACTGTGTACCGTCGATCAATAATGTGTAATAACAATCATTTATGTGTTCCCTCAATAATGTGTATCGTCTATCAATAATGTGTAACTTCAATCAATAATATATAACGTCAATCAATGATGTGCACCGTCAATCAATAATGTGCACTGTCAATCAATAATGTGTTCCGTCATTCAATAATATTTTCCATCAATCAGTAATGTGTACCGTCAATCAAATGTGTACCGTCAATCAACAATATGTTCCGTCAATCATGAATTCCGTCAGTCATGTGTTCTGTCAATCCCATGTTCTGTCAGTTAAAAAAATAATAATATGTTCCATCAATCAATAATGTGATCTGCCAATCAATAATAATGTTTCGTCTATCAATAACGTAGCCCATTCAATAATTACTTCTGTTAATCATGTGTTCCGTCAATCAACAATTTGTTCCGTCGATCAATATAAGTTCCATCAACAAACAGTGTGTTGTCAAAAATTTGTTCCGTCATCTCCAATGTGTTCCATCAATAATAATGAAGTAAGTTATTGTGGAAGGCTACCTCCATCACCTCACTTTTTAACGTATTTCCTCAATTACACTGAACTCTGACAATGAAATGTGGTTGCCAGACCTGCTTGAAAAAAGAGTTATGAGATAATAAAGTCGCCGGAATATATAATTTTAGCGTTTGTGTAAAAAAATAACAACTCTAAGCACGAACTTCATATATAATCATTACACTTATTGAAGATTCATAATGTTTCAGCCTAGTCTTTAAGGGATTTGTGGTATTAAAGGTTCTCACTGTTTCAGATTAGGCTTCCAGGGGGACTTTCGTACTGGTTCTCAATGTTCCAGGCTGATCTTCCAGTGATCTGCGGTATATCGCGTGCTCATACTCAGTTACCTCAAAATTAGTGTACCTAAACTAAACGACGCTGGAAAAATATTCATAGTTTTGGTAAAATATCTCTCACTGACTCCGACTTTGAGAGCGGCATCAGAAAGATTCTTGTGCATCTCAGCAACCATCGTTATATCTCTATTAATTAGGCTAATAATATATAATAGTTACTGTAAATTTAGCACACAATTTGCCACTCAGTGACTACCCTTCCTTGCTGCCTTGTAAGCTACTTGATCTAATCAGCGCCAGCAAGTTTTGATATTAATTAATGATTTAACTTGTATCGGCTAAATAATCTTACAGACTTTGGTGCATTCTTTTTATACTTAATTTATATCAAATTGAGCTATTCAGAATGTACCTTTGCTAATCAACCTTTGCAATGGTCCAAACATATACTTTTTTCAAACATATAATTTTTAATATAATGCACAAATAGTGTTTTAGTATATTTTGGTAGTCTGAGGGACGTGAGTTTCATGTAATCAGTGTCACCCTATTTATTCTGAACCATCGTGAATGAATACGAGGGCTGTGGTTGGTCGGTGGGGCGAAGGGGTGGTCTGTCAAACACCTCCCCCTCCCCCTGTTATATATTCGGCTCCTTTAAAAAATTTAAGCACTTGCACTCTGCCTTTGAATATGTTGACAATGGTCAACGAAACACATCTCTTAGCGCCATCTCTTTTACAAAACTGTAAAATAAACTTTGGAGAGTTATTTTTTCAACTTGAGCTATTTTTTCAACACGGGGACTTAATTAAGTCCCCGTGGCGCAGTGGTAAAACACTGGTCAGGCGCTTCGCGAGCGCTTTGGCCTGGGTTCGTGTCCTCCCCCGGGGAAGATTGATTGGGCGCCAATCCTTAACTATAGCCTCTGTTCACCCAGCAGTGAATGGGTACCTGCCTTGTTAAACAATTTGGCGGGTCGTATTCCAGAGAACAAATTAGGATTAAGGACTTGCACGAAACGCTATGCTTGCTAGTGGCTGTACAAGAATGTAAGAACTCTTGTATATATAAATAAATAAAAACTTCCTTCTTAAGTGAAGAAAAACATAAGAAACAAAGAAAAGTTTCGTGCTAGAATCATTGATCTAACTCTTTCTGGAATATTCAATAACAGATATTTTTTATGTACAACATTTCTTCAGAATATAAACTTTTTTTTTTAAATACCAAACTTTAAGGTACAGTACTAACAATGTAATATTTTACTGTGTTAGGGTGAGAAGAGGTCAATCGCCTCTGTCTGCCGTTGCTTGCAATTATTACATATATGTTCGCTCTAAAGAGATTCAAGTATGGACACTGACGGGTCTTTGTGTCAAACAAGGTTGACGATCAGCACTAACCTAGTATTGAACTATATAGGATCGAATGTTCTTATAATGACCAATTGTAATGCCATTAATAGTCGGAGCTATAAATGATCGATGGTCATTATTCTGACATATCAATGGATATTATAAGGTTAGTCAGTACTGACCAATCACAGCACATAACGTACATCAACACTGTCCTACCACTTGCCAAGATAGGCTTCTGGGACCAGATTCACGAAACCACTTACGAACCTGTACATCTTTTCTGAATCTTTGGCGGCTTTGTTTCCAATTATTAAACAGTTAATGAGCTCTGAAGCACCAGGAGGCTGTTTAGAACAATAACAACAGTTGATTGGGAAGTTTTCATGCTTGTAAACTGTTTAACAAATGTAACCAAAGCCGTCAAAGATTGAGGAAAGATGTACACGTTCGTAAGAGCTTGCGTAAGTGCTTTCGTGAATCTGGCCCCTGACCACCACAATAGTGGTCAGATTTGCTGCCCAGTATAAAAAAAACTAACAATGTACACACAATAACAGCAACGACTTGTAGTATAATATGTTTACGATTAAAATTATAATATTAACCAAAAGTTAATAAATTGATATTCTCTTACTTTGATAGTCGACGACGATGACGCTGAAGAAAGAGGATCCCCAATTCAATCTTGCTCGAGCTGATGGCTGTCCTGGCGAGGGGCCTAGGGAGGTACAGGGGTCCTAGCAAGGGACCCGGCTGCTGGTACAGAACTCCTGGTTAAGCGCCAAATAATTTACAGGAGTGCTATTAGGGAGCCTGGCGGCAGGATACAGGAGTCCTGGTAAGATGCTAGGCGAGGTTCGATAGTCCTAGTAATGAGCCACGCGAGGCCCAGGAGTCCTGTTAATGAACCCGGTGAAGTGCCAGATTCCTAGTAAGAAATCCTTGTTGGTTCAGGAATAATAGAATCCCGGCAAAGGTAAATGAAAAGACCGAGAAAAATGAGAGAAAGAACCCGACTCCGATTCTATAGAACTCTCGTGAACCGAAAACCAGGTATATAGAATGGGAAAGAAGTCGGACGCGACGCTGACCAAGTAAGGGGGCGGACAGAGGAAGCGACTGGAACGTCCTTCTCGCACGAGAGCGTGGGGCTGACTGGTGACCAGTCAGGGGGGTGACACTCGTACCCATCACCCAGCTCTCACCCACTCACCCCTCCCACCCACTGACACACTAAACCCCACCCACCTAGCTCCCTTCCTAGCTGTGGCGCCAGTCTTTTCCCAGTACTCACCCCTTATACCACTATTAATTACTTCTTATTAAAACATTATGTATATGGGCACTATTGTTTATAACATAAAGTGCGTATGAAGAATATTAAGTAGCGAGTATACTTCACTGAAAATGAAATTAGGAGTGACTGGAAATACCCATAAACAGTGACTATGGAAGCACCGAAGGACAGTGACTGGAAGTACCCGAAGACAGTGTCAATGGAAGAACCAAATACAGCGATAGACCATACCACCATGAACCTCCACCCTCTCCCCGACAACGGGAAGAAATACAGCTGGGAAATACTAAACTGTAAATAATGTTTGATTATATTTATTTTTTATATCTCTGAATTTAGCATTGTCTAATGGAACATTAAGTAATACTGAGAACTATTCGAAAGAAATATAATTTTATGCAAGGATAATCAGTTCATAAATTTTAGATATGGCACTGTTGACCAGTTGAAATTATATTATATAGTAAATTATTCAGTATTTAATTATGCAAATATTCTAAATTTATTTGTTTGTGTTGAGTGATAAGAGACAAGTCACAAACACAGGGCTCCCAGTCTACAAGGGCATTAGAACATAATAAATGTTTACATACTAATAATTATATCGCCTGAGTTTGTTCATTGATTCTTGACCGTCAATCCTGCCTGCTCACACAGTGGGCGCTGCCTAGTAGGCCTCTCATACAGCGGATGCCACCTAGGATGCTCTTCACACAGTGGATGTCAACACCTCACAGTGGACACTGCATAAAGTTTTGGAGTTACATGAATTAATTAATATCAGTGTTTTTTTGGATGGTTCGATAATAGGCTGGATGATGCGATTGGATGACTCGTGATCAAGCTGTATAATCTGACTGGATGAGGCGTGATCGAGCTGTATAATCTGACTGGATGAGTCTTGATCGAATTGGATGATCTTGGATGACTTATGTTCGAGCTGGAGAGTCCGAATAAGTGCTTTAATTAGGCACATACCAGACACATGCAACAGTTCGCTGGTACCTGCGTCACTTAATTACAACACCATAACGTTGTAATTAAGAAAACGACAATTCTTTACTGCTTGGATTTATTACAAGTAAAAAACAAAACTTAAAAACTGTCCAATTGCTAAACGCACAATTAGAGACGCGAGGCAAGATTCAGAGGCTATTGACAAGAATGCTGTATTTCTTGGTCGATCTCCACGTGATTAAATTAAATTCAACCGCAACTCAACATTTCCATTATTTATGAGTTCCTGAGATGGCAGCATAACCTGCCCTGACAGGTGCTGATAATTCAAGATGTGAGCCAAGCTGTAAATCACATAAATCACCTTCGTACCATCGCTGGTGTGATCGCTGCTAAAGATTTAATACACAACTAGTATATAAATTTAAAAAAACTAGAAAGGCGCAAAACTTCATTGGTTTAATTGCAATGAAAATAACGTGAAAGTTTCATCTCTCATTCCATAAATATCCAATCAACATTACTCGGTATAATCAGTTTAATCCTTACAGGGACATTGCGCCAATCGCTTCTACGATTTAATTCCGTGCTAAAAACGCCAAATGCATTGATTCCCATTTGATTTGACTATGTCTGAGCAGGTCTGTACTTTCAAGTACCTCGAAGAGGTACTTGAAAGTACAGACATAAAGAAATTAAGTGGAATCAGAACCAGATACGAGGTATTTGAAGGAACTAAATTCAGTGCGCAGTTTATTGGTTTAGATATTTAACAAACTCTTCATATGCAATTCAAATGAGAATTTAATGCATTCGAGTTGACCACATTGGAGCAGCGGCCATCGTTAGGGTTTTCCGGCGCAGGACCCGGTGGCCAAGGCATGCCTTCACATGCCCAACTGGGGACTGCCAGACCAAACGATCTCCGTATATAGGTAAGACAACAACATCTCTTTCAAGGGGGCCTGATTTTGCACAAACAGCGAGGCTCCACTAAAGAACATACAATTTGTAAGCACAACCAGACCATCACTATAGAGATCTCCTAACCAACAACACCGAAATTATCGAATTACAATGGCAATAGAAGGCTAGATACTACACATATATTTATCTATAAGAGAAATGTAGTAATGTTTGTTTACCTGGTCATGGTTGGAGGACAGACACTTGGGGCTACGTCCACACACGAAGCATGTGAAGTACCGGAGTGTCGCAGGCCAGTCGAGATCGGCTCTAGTGACACACTTTAAGAAATGTAAGCATCAACCCCCCCCTCTCCTGTGAGATTTTTATAAAGTCAAATCTGAAATATTAGATGTGTCATATAATTTTTACAGAGAGAGAGAAAGAGTGGGGGGGGGGGAGAAAGAAGGAAGAGAGAGGGGGTGCTTGAAGAGTGGGAAGGAGAGAGGAGACTAATGGAGAGGATGGGGAAAAGAGGGAAGAGGTGAGAGATGGAGGAAAGGTGGGGATATTGATAAAGGGTTAAGAGGGGAAGAAGAGAGGGGGCGGGGGGGGGGGGAGGTAGAAAGATGGAGAGGGTGAGATATTGGTACAGAGGGGTGAGAGGGGGGGATCAGGGGACCTTGAGGGAGAAAGCTGGAGAGGGAGATTTGGACAGAGAGGGAAGACGGGGAAAAAGAGGAAAGGACAGGAAGGGGGCGGAAGACCCGGGCTCAACCGGGTATTCCCTCTTGTATTTATAAAATAAAATGTCTACGGTTGTGGCCAGATGCTTCAGGATAGATTCACTCAACTTTTCAAAATGACACATAGGTGGTATGTGACTGCCAAAGGCTGGTTACGATCGGACACACTTCGACCCATGAGAAGTATTAACTACTACAACAAACCCTACTTTTTGGTAAGTCTGAAAACGGGAATGTGTGTGTGTTGGGGGGGGGAAGGGGGTTATAACATTTTATCCAGTTACATCATTGAAAATTCCAACACGGGCCTAAAAAAACATAAGACCATTGTGATGCCCACCTAGCCATGGATGCTCACAATAAAGAAGAATCTCACAAGTACCTAACTGGCACCAAACTGAGACTCTAAGCTTTCCCTGGAGCATCGCTAAGGTATCCGGAGGTAATCCACCTCCCATCATTTATGCCATATAAGATGCAACACACAATAGCGTGGGGTAATAACATTTAATTCAACCAGAGCACCGGAAAATTGGCGCACTAATCTTGAACAAATTAGAATAGGTTTGGATGTTTAGATTATCATGGTTCCTAAGCTACTGGTTACGCAAAACCAAATCCAATTTGACGGTTGTCAAGTCGCGAGAACGCGCTCCAGAGTATCCAGACTCTGTGGATAGTCTGCCTGTCAGCATCATTAACTTCAATATAATAATATGATCAATCTGAAAATTGCTTCAGGACACGAATAAATTTGAAAACTATTGTGTAGTCGGTCAAGATTTCCGACATTCTGTTGCTGCTGGCATGAAGGCTTCACCGAGCTAGCCTCAAAACAACGGGAAAAGTTTACAAAAAGAAGAGAAGCAAAAAATGAAGAAAGATAAAGAGAATAATATGAGAGAAATGTTCAGTCTGAAATGCTTTTATGTTCCCACAGACGCTGGATTTGAGGACATCACAGGTGTCGTGGATGAGGCGTGCAGCGTGTAATTTTCTTGTCATTATTGATTGATTGATAAATATTATGCCACCCTGTAGGTGGCACAGGAATGAATAGCCTATAATAAAATATTATAAACAATGAGAAGAGGTTACCACGAGAACCGCTGGACAAGTTCAAGATTGAGATGAGAGCAAAAGCGGCATTAATAACACGACACACACACACACACATGAGCCACAGAGACGTTAGTAGGAACTTTTTCAGTGTCAGAGTAGTTAACGGATGGAATGCATTAAGCAGTGATGTGGTGGAGGCTGACTCCATACACAGTTTCAAATGTAGATATGATAGAGTCCAGTAGGCTCAGGAACCTGTACACCCGTTGATTGACAGTTGAGAGGCGGGACCAAAGAGCCAAAGCTCAACCCCGCAAGCACAAATAGGTGAGTACACACACACACACACAAAATAGAATGTGATCTAGGAAACAAATTTTATACACGCACAGATGACGCTGGTGAAAACAGGGGGAACAAAAAGTACGCACGCTGTTGTTATTGTTTTAGATTCAGCCACTTGGAACAAAAGTTCCAAGTGGCACGGGCTATAGTGTGCCCGCAGTGGACTTGTGGACTTACACACGCGACATGCATGAAATACGAGTAAAACAACGAACGCAGTCTTCAGTCCCGACATGACGGTGATGCTGTTTCCTCCCTCGCCTCCAGCGTGTCAGTATTAGATGAAGCAATGAAAAACCTGTCCTCTGACAGCCCGTCCTCCAAAAATGGGGTGGTAAATGTATGAAGACAAATAAGTGCAATTATGTACTATTTATAGCAGTTAGGAATTGCACTTATTTTCACTTAGTATTAAATCGTACTGTCAAATATATTGTGAATATTTGAGTTTACCTAAAACACTGAATAGAAAATCACAACCTCAACTAACCGTCTTAGTTTTTGAAGATAATAATTTTATTGCTTCTTAATTACAATTAGTACTTAATCTATAGCTATATTGATATTACAGTTTTATAAAAGTAATTAAACAAAAACTAAAATATATCAATAAATTGTAAAGTAACTCAGAATACTTTAAAATTTTGTATAAAATCTATATTGTTTAATAAACCTGAAAAATAAATTCCTGTTATTTAAAACTTGTGTATTGCTAATTATGATCGATGATTTGAAAACTTCATCTTAAAATTTTGAGTGTTTTAACAGAAAATGAGGAGAATGAAATCGGGGGAGGGAGTTGGGTAAATGTAACAGCCCCATAGGTGCAA